TGCAGCAAACCATTTTCAAAAACCTCACAAAACCTTCCAACTATTACCTCAATTGCTTTTAAAATGGTGATTAAGCATGAATTCATGAAAAAATACAAGTTAAAAATAGTTCACTTTGGTTCACTTTTTCCACTTTCGGACTTACAAGAGTAAGATTCAACATATTTTCAACAAGAACATAATCATGCCACAAAAATTATGCACAATCCATTCAAGACAATCTCCACAAAAACATGCATTATCCACCACAAAACACATTATGAACACAATCTTAACAAAATAATAATAATAATAAAAATAATCTTCAACAAAATTTCAATCAAAACATCCCTCCTCAACAACACAACATTCCACAATAGTATCATCAACACAAACATGCCAACAAGACCCCTAAAAAACATATATACTCCACAAAATAAGAAATCAGTCAACACTTCCTAACTTAAAATGTCATTGTCCTCAATGACTCACAACTATAAACAGTCTCCCAAACTTAGCATCAAATGATCTCAAATGGAATATAATCAATGACAATTAAAATCATCCAACAAATTCGAGAAAATATCTAACAATAGCAGCATATAAGGTGGAGAGATACAACCTGAAGAACAATGGTGGGGTTGTCACCAATGAAGTTTGTGGAGTATGCTTGAGCATAGTCTTCAACTAATTAATGAGTTTCCAAACATGAAAAATCCTGCAAAGACAAAAACAACAAAAACATCAAAGCAATAAAAACATATTTACAAAGGTAGGTTGCCTCACACAAGCGCTAAGTTTAAAGTCTTCAACTAGACTTAGTACATTTGAATGGCTAGTTTGGTTCTAACAAAGAACACTCCTCAATCACCTCTCCATCATTGATGCCATCGACATAAGGTTTAAGTCTTTGGCCATTCACCTTAAAAACTTGTCCCCTTTTTGGGTTTTGGATTTCAACAGCGCCATGAGGGAAAACATTAAGAACAATAAAAGGGCCATCCCATCGTGACCGAAGATTGCCCGGAAAATGACAAAGCTTGGAGTTAAAGAGCCACAATTTTTGATTAGGAGAGAATGACTTTCTAATAATGTGTTTATCATGAAAAGCCTTAGTCCTCTCTTTAGAGATGTGAGAGTTCTCATAAGCTTCGTGTCTTAGCTTATCTAACTCTAAAAGTTGGAGTTTCCTGTGGTCACCGACCATGGTCATATCAAAATTGAATTTCCTTATGGCCCAATATGCTCTATGTTCAAGTTCTACAAGTAAATGACATGCTTTCCCAAAAATTAATTGATAAGGGGACATTCCAATAGGGGTACAATATGCAGTTTGATAGGCCCAAAATGCATCATTCAAACTCACCAACCAATCCTTATGATTGGGCCGTATGGTTTTCTCTAAAATGTTCTTAATTTCCTTATTAGCACGTTCCACTTGTCCAATAGTTTGAGGGTGATAAGATATAGCAACTTTATGGGTGATTGAGTACTTTTTCAAAAGTGAGCCACCATGCCTATTGGTGAAATGTGAATCACCATCACTGATGATGGCATATGAGTGAGCGAAACGACTAAATATGTGCGATTGAACAAAGTTGACGACCACCCTATGATCATTGGTCCTAGTGGCAATGACTTCTACCTATTTAGACACATAATCCACTGCAAGCAAGATATATTAAAAGCCAAAAGATGAGTGAAATGGACCCATGAAATCGATACCCCACACATCAAACCCTTCCATAACCAAATAGGACTAAAGGGTATCATATCTCATCTACCAATATTCCCTACTTTCTAACATGAAGTACAACCATGACAATAAAAGAATGCACGTGAAAAAGATGGGGCCAATAAAAACCACACTGGAGGACATTTAGAGTAGTCCTTTTGCCATTGTAATGACCACCACAAGCATAAGAATGGAAAAATGCAAGCACACTACAAAACTTGTGGTCAGGAACACATCTCCAAACAATTTGGTGTGCACACACCCTAAAAGGTCAGGGTCTTCCCAAAAATAATGCTTGATGGTTACAAAGAAATGATCTTTCTGAGTTTTGGTCCACCTCAATGGTAATTGTCCCACGGCCAACTAATTGACTAAATGGGCATACCAAGGTGTTTTGGATTAGGATATAGTAAATAATTGCTCATCCGAGAAGAAGTCATTCAAACATTGACTAGGGACATACTCTGTAAAAAGTCTGGACAAGTGGTCGGCGACCACATTATCACTACTCTTTTTATCTTTAATTTCTAGATCAAACTCTTGCAACAACAAAATCCATCGAATTAGTTTAGGCTTAGTGTCTTTCTTGTCTAACAAATACCTAACTGCAACGTGGTCTGTAAAGACAACTATCCTAGACCCAAGCAGATAAAACCAGAACTTATCAAGGGAGAAAACTACTACAAACAACTCCTTCTCAGTAGTGGTGTAATTGCATTGAGCATCAGAGAGGGTCTTGATTGCATAATAGATCACAATGGGCTTTTTATTCACCTGTTGAACAAAGACTGCACCAATGGCATATTCCGATGCGTCACACATCACTTCAAAAGGTAGATTCCAATCAAGAGGTTTCATGATGGGTGTTGTGGTAAATGTTTCTTTCAAAATGGTAAAGGTAGTCATACAAGAATTATAAAAAACAAAGGGAACCTTTTTAGCTAGCAAATCACAGAAAGGCTTAAAGATCTTGGTAAAATTTTGGATGAAATGTCTATAAAATCCTGTATGGCCTAGGAAAGACCTAATTTGTTTGACCGATGAAGGCAATGGCAGTTGAGAAATCAGCTCCACCTTTGCCTTATCCATTGCTATCCCCTTCTTGGAAACTACATGACCTAAGACAATTCCCTCTTGAACCATGAAATCGCTCTTCTCCAAACTAAGAACAAGATTTGTCTCTTTACATTGTTTCAACACCAATGCAAGCTTTTCGAGACAATCATAAAAAACCAAACATAGATAAATAATCCATGAAGACTTCAAGGAATTTCAGAAAATATTGATAACATGCACATTTGAAATGTTGACGGTGCATTGCATAACCCGAAGGGCATGCGATGAAAGGCAAACATACCAAAGGGACATGTGAACATGGTCTTTTCCTAGTCTTCGGGGGCAACTGGTACTTAGTTATATCCAAAATAGCCATCCAAAAAACAATAGAAAGTCTGTCCAGCAAGTTTTTCTAGGATTTGGTCGATAAATGGGAGAGAAAATGTATTTTCCTAGTGGCTAGGTTGAGCATTGTTTTGCTCATGCTTCAGTTTCCTATTTTCCTAAACCAGCATTAAACAAATTATGCCTTAGTTTCTTATTCCCAAAAGACACTTCCATCTTTCCTGATCTATAGTTAATACAAGTGTTTGCCGTTGCTAGAAATCGGTGGCATACTTCCATTGCTCATATACTTCATGTCTAAGACAAGAAAATCCACTGGAAAATATAGTTCCTCAACCCTAACTAACATGTCCTCAATTAAGCCACTAGGCATTTTGACTGATCGATCAACTAACTATAGGATGACTTCAGTAGACTTGAGCTCACCTAAGTTAATCTGCTCATACACGAAAGTGGGTAATAAGTTCACGCTTGCCCCTAAGTCTAAGAGTGCTCTATCAATATTGACATTACTTATCACACAGGAAATAATAGGAGCTCCAGGATCCTTTAACTTCGAAGGAAGACGGTTTGAGACAAATGCACTAACATTTTTCGGTAATTGTATAGTCTTGGGTGTGTGAGATTTCATTCACCTCTTTTGCATGCACAAGTCTTTGAGGAATTTGGCATAAGTAGGTACTTGCTTAATGGCACTTAAAAGTGGATTGTTAATTTGTACATGCTTAAACAACTCAACCATTTCCTCGATCATAGCGCTTTTCCTAGTAGTGGCAACATTTTGGGGCTCTAAGCACTGAGGAAAAGGTGATCTCAATATGTACAATGCAGAGGATGATTCATTCTCCCCAACTTTCTCCTTACCCAGTTTCTGAACACTTGACTTTACAAGTGGCTCACTCTCACCCTCTTTGGCTTGGTCCCTACATAGACTTTCCTCTTAGGCCTAATTAGCTCTCGACCTCTTCGAAGATTCATCACAACCTTATCTTGTTCGGAATACCCTCTTTGTTAAGAAGAACCATTAGGGTTACCTATGACTTGACTAGGCAATTGGCCTTGTTCCCTCCTATTGACTGCTTCGGTTGTTTGACCAATCTAGGTCTCTAGCTTACTGATGGGTTGGGAATGAGAATGTAGTAGTTAGGTATTTTGCTCTAAATCTTGGAAGCTAGCATTCATGTTGGCTTTTTGTTTCTGCACAGTTTAGAGCATTTGAGCCATCATTGATTCTAATGAATTCGGCCCTAGAGTGTGCTATTGAACGGGGGGCAGGATCCTAGGTTGGGCAGGTGGTTGGATTGAAGGTTGCTCCTTATAATTGTCTCGCTGATTGGAAGGATTATTCCTATATGACATATTATTGGGGGCATTCTAAGGTGGTTGTGGCTTCCATGAAAAATTAGGTTGGTTATGCCACCTAGGATTATACATGTTTGAGTACGGATCATTCCGTCTCTGGAAGCCTTGTACAACCTGCACTTGCTCCTCAAAAGGATTGGGGGCGGGTTCCTTAATTGGATGGTCGAAAGTGGAGTGCACGGAAAAAACATCATGGTTCACCCTATTCTAAGATGATTGTGTAGAGGGTTACCCTTGTATAGATACAAACTTGTTAAACCAATGGGCTAGCACCTTTAGCTTGGAAATACTGTCATCTAACTGTGACACCTCATACACGCCACCCTTCTTGGATGCCTGCCCTGAGAAAGACATTCTAGACACAGAAATGTGGTGCATTGAATTTTCACTTAAGGTCTTAAAGATTTGCCATAACTCATTCTCATCTTTGTGCATAAATGTTCCTCCACAAGAGGCGTCTACCACATTCCTATGCCTCTTTGTCAGTCCATCATAAAAACTACGAACTAATTGCCACCTAGGGACTGGATGATGGGGACACTTCCTAAGAATTTCCTTCAAACATTCCCAACTCTCATAAAATTCCTCGCCATCTAGTTAAGTAAAACTAGTGATAGCTCGTCTTATGCTGTTGGTTTTACCAATGGGATAATACTTTTTTAGGAATCCTTGTTGCATTTGGGACCAAGAGGTAATGGACCCTACTGCCAAAGAATTGAGCCACTGTTTGGCTCGATCCTTAAGTAAGAATGGGAATAAAATTAAACGCATAACATCCTCATTTACATTTTAAAGTCTAACTATAGAGCAAACCTCTAAAAATTCATCTAAGTGTTTGTATGGCTCCTTATTTAAATTCCCATAATAAATTGGTAGCAATTGGATGACACTAGTTTTGATCTCATAGTGTTGTGTCTGGACATTGGGGATACGGGTACATGAGGCTGAAGTGTATGTGGTGGGTTTGAAATGTTGGCAAAGGGGCACATGCTCGGGTGCATCATTGTCGGCCATCCTACGTGCTTGTTTTCTATTCTTTTTATAAGTGCACTCAATTTCAATAGGTAATAACTCTTTGTTACTAGATCTTCTAGTTTGCATTCATCAATCAAACACACAAGAGGCTCAACAAACAACCGCAACAAAAAAATTCAAAGAAAAATAACTAAATGCAAATCCTAGAAAGCAAATCAATCATCACACAAAACAAATCTAAAATTTAATGAAACTTTACCCAACAAAAATTCGCTCAAACAAATATGCTTAATCAAAACTAAAGCTATCAATGCAACCTAAAAGAAATTAGTACTAAGAACAAAAATTAAAGCTTAGGAATTAAAAACAAAATATGCCCAAAACAATAGGAAAACTAACAATTAACTAACTAATACTATCAACATGCAATCAATCACACAAATGATTAACCAAAAATAAAAAGAACTTAAAACTAAAAAGACAAAAGAACTTCACAATCAGTTCATGCCAACACTTCGCTTCACATGACAAGCTGCACCAATTTCCCAATTGCAAACTTCCTGTAAATACAAAATAAACACGAACGAATCTATTCGATTGAAACCAAGATGAAAATAAATGAAGTAAAATAAAATAAAATAAAAAATGCAGAAAACTTAAGTAAAAAGAACGAATCACAACTCAAAAACACACAAAATCAAAAGCACATTGCTCCCTGGCAACATCGCCAAAATTTTGTTGAGCCGGTCGTCGTGGCCACAAAATTAATAAACCTAACCACTTAGCTAGTCGTAAGAAGGGTCGAGCACAACTAATGACTTGACACGTACTTGAGTAAACTAAATGAAGATGGCAAATGAATGATTAAACTAGGAAAACTAATAGCTATAATTGAAGAACTTAATTAGAAACAAACAAAGTGCAAATGATAAAATGCTTGAAATTAAAACTAATTAAGACTTTATAATAAAAATGTTGCCAGTATGGTTTTGTTCGACACAAGACCAACTCTCACAATTCTCCTCCACACTCGATGATCCCCTAAACCGACAAGGCAAGATAAACCATCAAAATCGCTTTCCGGAACTCTAAGTATAATCTATTCTGTCTCACCTAATGACTTAAGTTTGATTGGTTAGAGACTATCATTGAATACTGACAAACGCTATAAGACAAAACCACTAGTTGGTACGTCACTAACACATACAATATGTTAATGCATAACATCCGATCAACCAACTTCACAATAAAAACAACAAAAGTAGAAATGGCTTTAAATGCGATCACAACTCAATCACAATCGATGCGAAATAACGAAAAGAAATATTCATCATTTAATTATCTAAAACCAACATTTATCATTCAATAAGTTCTATGTAAACATATAATCTCAATGGACAACCATATTCACCATAAATTATGCACAAACTACATTGAAGTATCAAAATCAAACATGAAATGAAAACAAATATAGTTCGATACATAATACTATCGAATGTTCGACGATCAGGCTCATTCAACTAGTCGAGACCTGATGAGGAGAGTGGTGGAGTCAATATCGATCTTGCCTATGTCGTAACAAACGATCGAAAGCTCAACTACTCATGGGTGTGTCGATGAAGGCTGGAGCGGTGGAAATGAAGCTAGTCATGGCGAAGAGCACATAATTGACAATGAGATGATCCGAAGAAGGAGTGGAAACGACCAACGGATAGCTCAAAATGTGAATCGTCACAACTCCACAGAATATGTTAGTTTTCTGGGGGGTTTTCTAGCAAAAGGTGCCGAAAATGGGATTCAAAGATATCGATGGAAAGCTCACGAGCTAGGGGGTCCAGGTGTGTGGTTGAGAGGACCAATCAACGTAAAAAACACACGAAATCGTGTCGAGAAGTCGAAGAGGTATGACAACGGAAGACGAAAAGTCATCACAGTTTGCGGTGATCTTTCACAAAAAAGGGCGTGTGAGGGTGTTGGAAGGCTAGAAATGAGGAGATTGGTTATGGGGAAGTTGAATGGTCATCGGACAGTTGCCAGAATCCGATGAGGTGAGCTTGGGTTTGATGGGTGGCAGCTGACTCCTGTTTTAGAACTATTCGTCTTCTTTTATGCTAAGTTAGGCAAATTTTTTAGTCACTGTATGAATGAAAACTGACAAAATCAACCCCCAAAAATATGACAATTTACCCCCTGAGCAGAATATGAGACAAATTCAGACCTAATCAATAAATCACAACCTAATATCGGCTCACAACGTCTCAAAAATCATTCCAAACATGCACAAATTTTAAGGAAAAATTAAGATGTGATTTTCCATTAATAATTCCATAATTTCTTCAATTGTCTCAATATAAATTCAATTTAATTACACATAGGGTATTTTATCACCAAAATAGAGTCACTTTCATGACTCTAACAGTCACTTGTGTGTTCCATGTAGGTTGAGACCTTTATATATTTGCTTTACAGATTGTATCCATGTTTTTTGTTCAATATTTTTTTCATTCTTAGCCTCTGTGACTATGCTTCTCTGCTCATTGCTCAAGGAACTTCCATAGGCAAATTGTTGTTGTGGTCTGCTCGTTGCTCATTGTTCATCCTTCATAAACTAAATTAAATTGGTTTAATTTGTCAAGCTCAAATTGATGTTTTTTACAGCATGTATTCCATGTTTTCTAGCTTTTTTTTTTTCTTTTTTTTTTTTTCATTCAAATTCGGATCAAATCCGGATATCTGTTTATATGATCCAAATTTTTGGATTGTATCAAACAAAATTTGGATTGGATAAAAAAGTGCCCAACCGAATCTAATATTCGATTTTGTACACCCTTACTCTCTGTCAAGTGAAAAGTTCAGCAGTTAGTCTAGTAAAGATTAAGTTAGTTAAAGTACAGCAATTAGTAAGTCTAGTTAATTCATTTTTGTATTATATAGTTTTACTGTAGCTAAATCCAACTGTAAGCTGCTTAAATACCCAGAATGTAATTGAAGGCACCAGACTTGAATAACAAAGATAGTTTTTTTTTTCCCTTTTCTCTCTGTCAAAGTGTTTTCACTTCTTCTCTTTCTAATATGGTATCAGAGCATCGATCCAAGCTCACCCAAACAAAATTCCTCAAATCTTCTTTCAATTTGATTGTTTTTTCTTTTGTTTCATTCAATTGATTCAAAATCTTTGAATTTTTGTTTGAAATTTCTTCTCGAAAGAGTTGTTTCTTTTGACCTAAATTCTTGATCAACAATGAGTGGATCTATAAACACCAGTGTTCAAGGAGCTACAATGGTAGTAGATTACAATAATTCACTATACATGCATCCTTCTGATACTTCTGGAAGTCAAATAATAAGTTAGATTTTGACGGGAACAAATAACTGTGGACTTTGGAGTCATGCGATGCGAATAGCACTTTTAGCCAATAACAAGTTGTGCTTTATAGATGGCTCATTTGGTCATCCTCTTGATTCTCTTCAAGTGCAGCAATGGGACTAGTGTGATGCTAGAGTCATCTATGGGAACAATGCTACTACAGTATGGAAAAACCTTTGGGATGAATATGGTTCAAGAATTTATTCAATAATGAAAGAAATTGCTATGATTCAACAAGGCACATATACTATTCCAGTCTATTATACAAGATTGAAGATCCTTTGGGATGAATATGCTTCAATGCTCCCACTTACTAATTGTGCTTATCCTGTGTCTAACATTACTAAAGAACATGAGTAAACTCTGAAAGTTATGCAGTTTCTTATGGGTCTCAATGATAGTTATTCAATAGTTCATAGTTCAATCTTACTAATGAATCCATTGCAGATAGTCAATATTGCTTATTCAATGTTAAACCAAGAAGAAAAATAGCGAGGAATTACCACCATTGTTAACACTTAGTCTGATGTCTCAACTTTTTTTACTCACAATGCTAAATCTGTGAACAATTCTACTCAGGGCACCAAACAAAAGAAACCTATGGAATGTGAATACTGTCATTTGGCTAATCACATAGTCAATTTTTGTTGGAAGCTATATGGATAATAATCGACAGAGAAATAAACAGAAGAAAGGGACAAATTATAAGACTCCTGCTACAAATCACAATGAATCTCTTATGATGGATGATCCACAAAGGACTTTTGCATCTATGAGCAAACCTTGAAGTCTTTTTACTCCAGCATAGTACTAAGAAATTCTAAAACTTCTTGGCAAAGATAGTTCAAGTGTTAACTTTAAGTTGGCCCAGACAGACTCTAAAATCATTGGTAATATAGCCGGTAATATCACGTCCTTTCTTGGCACAATTTACATAATGATTGGATTCTTGATACAGGAGCTAATGACCATATGACTTTGGCATTTCAAAGTCTGGAGAATGTTTCTTCATACAACTCTTCAAAAAAACCTAGTGTTAAACTTCCAAATGGTATGACCACACCTATTACCCATATTGGTGATATATCCCTTTCCTCTCAGATAAAACTCCAAAAAGTTCTCTTTGTCCCTTACTTTCACTATAATTTGTTATTTGTTTCTAAATTTTGCAAAGACAATAATGTTGCTGTCATATTTTTTCCTCATTTTTGCTCGTTTCAAGACTTATGGATTGGGTCAATGACAGTGATTGGTAAAGAATATCATGGGCTTTACTATGTGGTTATGC